CAAAGCACACTAGGGCTATCTGCCTAAGGGAAGGGATGCCTTCGTGGAGGACTTTCTAAGGGAAACTGGCTCGTATACACGTTACACATGGGGAAAACCACGAAAACACCCATGCAGCCAGCCCATTCGCGGGATTCGAACCTCGGACCGAACTACCAGTGTTCAGCGACTTTACCGCTCGGCCGCTGGTGGGGGAGGGAAAGCATAGGATTCTTGTTTTTTCAATGCTGAGAATCGGCGTTGCAAAATGTCAATAAATTTCCGTATTCTTGGTAATTTGTAAAGTTTAAAATTAAGATTGTAGTGTAGGTTTAGCGCCAAAATTCTCAAAATATATTATTGTATACATTTTATTGTATACGGTGGGGAGGGGGGGCGCGATGAAATTATGATTGAAAATTGGGCCGTGAATACTAAAAGGTTGAGAAACACTGACGTAAGGAAAAGAATATTTAATTTCATTTAAAATTAGCATGAATGAATCTCGGCCGTATGTTTTTTGGGGTTATCAGCTTTGAACTAATTTCATCGTTTTCAACTATATTTACTATGTTTATGGAGTATTTTACGGTAGTCTTGCATATTATTATTTGCAAAACAAATGAACATGGCGGATTTATTAATTGTATATTTTGTTGATTTGGCATCTTTAGTATGCACAAATGAATAATGTATAAGAAGTGATATAATTACATTTTTTCTGAGTAATAATATTACAAAGTTTGCAATCTAAAGCCATTGGCAGAATTATATATTTTCAGCCAATTTTGTCTGCTAGTTGCCTGGAAGGTAAAGTGATCAAATACATATAATTCTACTCAGAGTAAACAGGCAGGAGCATAGATGTGTGTTTTCTTCATGTGTGACATCAATATGAAGAAATTTCCCATAGAAATTCTTGTTCAAAGCCATCACTCTTATTTGAAAGCTCTTTTGTATCTTGTCCTATTCAATGCCCCAATCAACAAATTATAGGTCCTTAAAGAGGTCTGACATATGCAACATATGTTTGCACACGAGCTTCACGCTAATGGTGTTTGAAAAATGTACTTTTGAATTAGAATTGCAATAAAAGATACAAAGCATGATTTTTACTTATTTGACCTTTTGTGGGCAGAGATTTGACTCATAAAAAGATGGGGATTTTCCTACCTTATACTTCCCTCTTTTAAGAAGACCTTTGCTGTTTGCAATAATGGCACTTTTAGGTAGTTTCAATTATCCTGAAAAAGAGGCTTTCCTTTACAGAAGGAAGGGAAATGTAGGGATTATTATCTAAACGAAACTTTAACAGCGCAATTCATTTCAATTCAGACTACTCAGTGATACACAGAAAGAAATATATATATATATATATGGTGTGCGTGTTTGACGCTTCAAGCTCAGTTGTGTTAACAGCATCATCATACCTTTACCCTCAGCCACTATTGTCTTCTCAGTCCTGACGAATATCAAAAGCTGCTAAAAGTACCAAATTCCTCATTCGCAATTAAAACACTACAAAGTATATATATATATAACAGTTGTAGAATTATCAAGAATTTAAAAATTTTCATAGTGCTACTAAGGCTAACGAACCTGTCATTCGTCTACATTTCAAACTCTGAATTTCTGCACCAACTTCAGTGTCTTTTTCTCCAACGAAACCAAAAGTAAACTTTCAGCTTTGTGCACCGAAAAACCTGTATTCATGCCCACAGGCCAAATTGCTTGTTTTTGTGTAGAAATTCCTAATTTTAATTGTAAAAATTGTTTTTTAAACGGGCTTTAACTGTATTTGGTGTTTTATGTTTTTCTGTATTTTACAATTTTTAATGAAGCTGTTTTGAGTTTTTCTGTATTTTTGCCTTGCTGTGAAGTCAGAACCGAACTGATTGAATGAGAAATTCATCTCTAATTTAATTCGAGGAAATAAGTTTAAATGAAATGAAGCAAAAAGTATATGTACAATTTAATAGTTCATACAAAGAAGTCATGTGATGTACATATCAGATTTTTTTTTTTTTTTTTTTTTTTTTTCCAGCTTTAAGTCTTTTCTCTTGGCATTTAGACAAGTTACTCACACAACAAATTTTTTTAAAAAATGCTTCCTCCAGTGATTTATTCAAATTTCAAAATTTATGGCTTCAAATAGCAAAAACACTGCCCTTTTTCTGTTTAGTTTATCTGCCACTTCATAGTTACAAGCATAACCAATGCTTTCTTTACTGTGTATCGTAAGTCTACATAATTATCACTTCTTTTCCGTTCAAAGACTAATGCTTAAAAGCAATTCACTAATATACGGTAATGCTTAGAAGCATTTCATGAACTTTTTTTTTATAACTCTTTGTGAATATAATATATCTATCCCGAGTGGAGGAATTTTTGTTTTTGCATAAGATAATGAAATTCTGCTGCTCTGGAGTCCAGTGCTGACAAAGAATTCAGAAAAACAGAAACTTCAAAATAATGTTACAAAATCTGAAATTTAGAGGGTTTTGTTTGATAGCTTAGTTCAACTTGGTGCAAAATAGAGTACGCAAGAGAATACATGCTTTCGGTCAAATGAAGCACTGACAAGTGTTCTAAATAAATTAAATTTTAGCTGATGGCATAGTAGGTAGCCCTCCTATAACATGGTAGATAGGTTCCTAGAAAATGCCATGTTTTGTGAAACTGTTGCACAAGACCCAGAGCTAGTACAAAAAGGGGGCTTATGTTCCGAAAACTTATTAAATCGATTTTTTTTATCTCTACATAAATAACTTTAATTTTTATTAAAAATATAAATGTATGTACAAGACAAAACCAAAAAATTCCTTTAATTAATTTCTTTGTCGTCATTGCTCAGTATAATCAACCGACAACGTTTTTTCGGTGGAATCGCTTTTATTTTCAGAATTCATTTTTTCATTTAAAGTTCTGGCACCTTCTTCCCTGTTTAAAAAAATCTTCCAATTTTACTTTACTTACTAGTTCTAACCAGGTCTTCCAAGCTTCGAATACATTAACTGATTTTGAATCAAGTTACGTCTAATATCCACTGTAATACTGTTCTTACGTACTACATTTTAAAGGTATAAATAATAGCTTGATCAAATGCTTGGAGTAACGAAGTACTGTTAGGTGGTAGGAACAGTATTTTGACATTGGAATGATTCAAATCTTGTGAGTGACAGAGAGCATTATCTAATAGTAATAATGTCTTAAATAACGCTCAATGTCTGGCATAAAACAATTTAAAAGCCATCCTTTAAATAAATGTGCATTTACCTAAGCTCTTGGATTTGTCTTCCAATATACCGATAAGTCGTTTTTATTTACGCCTTTAAGTGCACAACTATTTAAAGATCTGTAAACTAACAAGGGTTTTTGTTGTAAAGTCCCCCCCCAATGCGTTACTGCACAAAAGTAGTGTTAGACGATCTTTAGACACCTTAAATCCGGATGCAGTTTTTCTTTTTTCGATATACAGGTTCTGCTGGGCATTTTTTTCTCCACCACAGCCCAGTTTTGTCGGCATTGAAAATTTGATCTGCTGTCTACCCCTGCTCTTCTATAACATTTTGAATTTTTTCAGGAAACGTCCTAGCAGCTTCATAATCAGCCAATGCAGATTCTCCTTGAATTCTTATGCTATGAATGGCAACAGGCTTTTTGAATTTTTCGAACCAACCTTTACTTGCCACAAATTCTGGGTTGACAGAGGATTCTCTATATTCTTTAAGGTGTTTGTAAATTTTGAGTGAGTTCTGTTTAATGATATTACCCTCCTGAAGAATTCTCTTTTCACAACTATCATCAATCCAAATGCTGAGTGCCTTTTCCATCTTCTCAATTAATGGCGCCTGGGGGGTGAGGCAAGCTGCACGTTTTGCGGATGTCGAAGATCCTGCAGTAACTGAACTTCTGATTTCTTTTTCATTTTTCTTAATAGTTCGGACTGTTGTTTTATTCAAATTAAGACTTTTTCCAATGTGAGATGCCTTTTCTCCTTTTAAAAGACAATCCAAGATTTGTATCTTTACTTATAAAGAAATAAATTTTCTCTTAAACTTTTTTTTAAAAAAAATTTTCATTGGACATATTTTGGGATTGAAAATGTCTTAATGCAAAAAAGTTATTCTTACACCGTGGCTCCACGCAGATTGACAACCAGCAGCGTAAGACACTTTTGTTTTCAGGCCACGTAGATGAGGATTCGAATTTTGGAAGCCGAACGTTCATGTTGTGCGTTTTGGAGCTCTTATGTCGTTCATCTTCTGCGATAGTGAGATTCCTCATTGTTATCTGGGGAATGTGGTCTTTCGTGACTGGGTATTGTTTCTATTGTTCTGTACTTTGAAGGTCATGGAAGGAAACGATTTTCCTTTGTTACCGGTTAAAAATTTAACGGTCAGTCTCCACCACGTGGCTCGTCTCCCAGAGGATTTTTGTTCTCATGGGAGCCGGATCTTGGAAGACAATTGGCAGGACTTTTGAAACAAGGATTCTTATGTGTTAACCTTTAAAACCTGAAAAGTTTGAAAAGGTTTACTTAAAAGGATGGGAAATAGGAATTTTGGAATCGATGAAAACCTTTTTACAAACAACAAAAATAAAGCCAGTCAAATACTGAGAATTTTTTACATAACGAGGCATCAGTTCCTACAGAATTTCAAAGGAACGATTAGTGCAACTTTGGGAGGATCTAATCCAACATTCAAGGTCGACGGGATACTAGCGAGAAAAAACAAATTTTTAAAGAATAAAATTATTTCTTAATTATAAAAATAAATGAGTACTGGCTTGAACAGCGAGGAAATGTGCAAGTTAACAGACATGCGTTTCACCCCTTTATACAAACTGCTAACTTATAAATGCAATAAAATCATTAAAATTTGAATAGTTATTAGATGTCTACAAAAATTCTTCGATTTATTAAATAGTTATATTTTATCCCTCACAATGAGTAATTTTAATAAAATACAAAAAGTTTGAAGTAATTGAGATCAAACCAAAATGATACCACCAATAACTCATATAATACTAATATGGGATTTATTTTATTTTGAATTAATTTGAAATAAATTATATTTACAATAATATTCGATATTTTTCAGCACGAGGAACTTTGTTAATTACTAATCGTCCATCATAACTCAGTGATGCAAATAACCATGGATCAGCACTAGACCATTCCACAGCATATACACTATCTTCATGCTCCTCATAAATAGATACTACTCCATCAGATACAGGTTTAGTGTTAGATTTATAACTGTCATCATGGCCTTCAACATCATCATCTTCTATTAAATGTCCAAAAGGTGCTGATGATACTGAGGCTGCTCTTGACAAAATAACTCTCGAATCACTACTAGATGTCAAAACAAGTTGATCATGAAAGCTGTTGTATTTGACGCACCATACCCAATGAGAATGATCTGAAAACACTAAAAGAGGTTTAGTGTTATTTCGCACATCCCAGAATTTAGTTTGGCAGTCATCACCACAAGTAGCAATGTAATACTGCTTGTTTGGGTTAAAGTCCAAATATCGAACAAGTTGACCATGAGCATTTTCAAATGACCATGCAGTCTGCATGGTTCGTAAATCCCAACTTCTCACAGATGTATCAATTGCAATAGCAACTACATTGCAATTCTGGTGTGGATTCCAGTTTGCCGCAGTAAACTTTTGTCTACCTTTCTGTTCAGGGAGCACTTGAGACTGTTGGATAGCTTTTGTAACATCAGAAAGATCCCATAAATGAAAAGAAGAATCCATTAATGTTATTATCCTTTTTCCAGATACAGGTTCCCACACAATACTTTTAATTTCACCACCTGAATCTCTTATATCTAAATCTGCAACAAGCTCAAGGGATGGATATGAAGATGATGTATCATCATTACTATAGCATGTTTTAGATACAGGAGGAAGTTTCCAAATTGCACCATGCATTTCACACTTTCCATTTTGTGTTATTTGATTATAGCATGTTGACAATAAACTAGTCTCAGAAGGAGAAGTGCTTAAATGCCAAATTTCTCCAACATTATGAAGGTAGACAGTCTTAACAATACTGTTATTTTCTTCATCGTACTCAAGTTGATGAATCTGATTTTCAAATTTCAAAGACTGTGTTCCTACAAGAAATCGAACAACATCTGTTTCAGATGTCTGAGCACTTAATGCTCGAGCTTGGAATTCCAAACCATATATGATAGGTGCATCATCCTCCATAGCAGATCAGGACCTAAAAATACAAAAACATTACATATTTCTTATACAAAAAATACAAAACAAAATCCACACACATAAATCAGTGTATAATTCTGAATACAGGGTGTTCAGAACCAAAGAACCTATTTCAAAGCTGCCTACAGGCGAAACCAGTCAGAAAATTCTGAAATTTTGTGGTGACTTAATGAAAGGATGCAAGCTGATGAATGAAAGGATGTCTTTCAGCTGGAAAAAAATTAGTTCAAATAGAGCCACCAAATGGCACTGTATTAATATATTACACATTTAGCCACACTTTTACAATAGTTTTAAAATTTTATTACAACGAAACTTGTTCCACATAATGGCCGTCATTTTCAGCTACCGTCTGAAATCACAAGGTTGCATGTTCCACAGTTGACCAAACTGTGTGCTGAGAAATGTTGAGGATTTGGTGAGAAATGTTGCCTTTAAAATCAGGTAAAGTTCTTGGATAATAATAGCTTAACCAACATTCAAAATGCCCCTAAAGCCAAAAATCGCATGGTTAGAGGTCTGGGGATCAGGTAGGCCAAATTTAGCAGTTGTGAGTATTCACCATACCGTCCAAATAAAAATGCATTTCATCTGTCCAAAGGATATTCCAAGGCTATTCTGAATCAAACTCAAAGCGAGCAAGAAATTGAAGTGAAAACTGGAATCGAAAGTCAAAACCATGTGGAAGGAACAGCTGCACATTAAAAGTTTGTGAGGATAATACCGGAGGATATTCCACAAGATCTTATGTACAGTTAACTGTGGCTTATCCAATGCCTCAGCTACACACCAAACACTGGTGTTAAGACTGAAAGTTTGAAGCAGTGTCTTCTACCACCTAAAGTGTAACCTCCTGTAGTGTATCTGCAAAAATGGATATTCTTCCTCTTCCAGGATAGACAGAAAATGACCCTGTTACTTCAAATTTCCTTATCACATTTTCCAAAGGTTTTTAACATTCAATGGGCCTTTTGGAATCATCTCTGAAAAAATTCTTGGACAGATTATAAATTTTCTTTTTTAAAAAAATATTTGTGTATCTGTATATACATATAATTACAAAACAATTTTTAATTAACATAATATAATCATGCCTAGTATACTCATGCATTAAGCTGCTGAAAAATTATCAGTAAAGCCATAAAGTAAGAAATTTAGAACTAATTTTACACAAAGACCAAAAATTGAAATTCATAAGTAATAAATTTCAAAAAATCCTACAAATATAAATAAGAATTTAATAAATATTAAAACTAAAATACTTCAAAAAAGTAAAACCCCAGTTCAAAAAATAAATGAAATTAAAAGTATATAAAATAAGACAAATTCAATCAACTTTATTAATTAGGAAGAAGAACACTGAAATCAATTAAAATTGCTCTTCTATAAAAATTCTTTCTTTTCTGTATCCAGAATTAGCTGATGAACCATTCCAATATATTTTAATTATAATAGTTCATCCAAAAATTCTGGCCTCTCCATAAAGCAAGAAAAAAACTAAGTAAATTCATATCAAAATTTTACCTTGATACAAAGAGAGTGCTAAGGAATTTAATGAACTACACTTACAAAATAGTGTTTTATATTTTAGTTTGGTGATTCTTAATAACTTACTTTGGATTTATAAAGGCTAATTTAACGAGGTTTACTCTTTCAAGCGAATTTAAAAACATATACGAACATATTAGTAGACTTAAACATAACATATAAGATAGAGATATAAGAAAACCTATTGCTAACAGCAGCTAGTGTGAAATTTAAAAATTGGTTTATAGTACATTTTTTTTTTATAAAATACTGATAAGCTGAAGAACATATTTTAAATATGAAGTTCTTGACCTTCATCAAAAATGCAATAAATCGGGCATAAAATCTTGATTTCTATCATGCTTTCTCTTGATTTCCTATGGGAAATGAACATTTACATGTATATTATAAAACTCAGTACGTTATAAAATACAATAATAAAAAAAGTTTTTATTTAAAATGGATGTGATAATTAATGCATAAAAAGGTGAAAAATCATTTATTATATAGGTTAATAGGAGTAATACATTTTTTAATGCTTTTTTTTTTTTTTTTTCTTCTCAGTTGCATGCTACCAATGATGAAATTTTTAGTCATTATTATAACACAGGAAACAAATTATAAGAAAATCATGAAATAAAGAAAAATAACTCAGAGAATGAAGAAATAGCTTTGGATATTCAGTTCCAAAAACTGGTTGTAATAACAATGTTACATAATAAGCATTTTACTTGAAACTAAAATGAGAAAATGAATATTATCAATTTGCCATGAAAAGCGATAAGATGCCAAACTCTAAGTGTCATTTCCCCCCATCTATTTCAGACTGTGAGACATATATATATATAAATGTAGTCAATCACTCAATATTTTTTCATCATTCTCGTCAGCAAAAAATTAGTGTGAAAATTTCAAAATTTTATATCTGATACATTATTAGATGTTGAAATTTTAAAGCCATAAATGTCAAATAGTCTAAAAAATTGAGCAATTTTTAAAAATTTAGAAAATAAATTAAATTTTCATGCAAGTTTCACAGGAAAGAATTTTCTTCCAATCTGTTTGATGTTGCACAATTCTGATATGTTTAGTTTGTTTGCTAAATGAAGATATGTGTGAAAATTCATTTAAACATCAAATAAAAAAATCTAAATTGAATTTTGAAAAAAACTACTTCACCACATTGCATTTCATTGACCAACAATGTATGTATTAAAGTCGATAGTTTATCAGGAAGAAAGTTAAAAATTAATGACAAATCCTAACCACAATGAAACTACACGAGTGAACTAAATAAAGTCTTGTAAAAAAGTATAAAATTGCTATACTGACCATGAATTATATAAGTATTAGCAGACTTACTGTATAGCAGTAATTTTTTATATTTGTCACATGCTTTCATTATCTATATTACCATATTAAATTATATATCATTACCATATTTATAAGTCACTTCCTTATAAATATGGCATCATTTACCACAATTATAATACACACTGAACGTTATATCTGGTCTACAGTACCAGGTCCATGATCTGGACTGGTTGGCATTTTGGCAATTCTGGATATTAGATCATCAGTTTAAATCTTGTAAAATGACGGGTAGAAATTATAAAATTAAAAATATGAAATAGTGATTTATGAAATAATGAAGCATTTACTTATTACTTTAAAGGAGTAAAAATTTACATCCCCAAAAAGCTCAATATATATTTGTTTGCTTTAAAATATTTATTTCAGTAAGTTGTTTAATTAATTAATAATAATTTTGTGCTAATACTTTCTCTTTAATTCTATAGGTAGATATAATTTCTTGTGCAGTTACTAAATTCAATTTTTCAAGTCTTGCAATTGCTGCATTGAGAATTTCCATTAATTAACCAATCGAAATGATTTCGTTCTCAACAACCTCCCTGTCACTTCCTTCACCCCATACAGCAATATTTTCTGGATTTAAAACCACACTAGAGATTTCATCATCTGTTAGTTGATTTAATGATTGGAGAATTGTCAACACAATAAAAAACTTCTGTTATAGCATCTTCATCTATATTTCTTCAAAAATTTTGTTAACTGGAAATTTTCTGTTTTGTTTGTGATCTGAACACCTTGAAATTCGCAATAATCATCATAAAGCTTATCTAGTGTCCACTATACACTAGTGACAATGTATCATGAGACTGGCGACTAAAGACAAGTTGTTTTGCTAAATTTTATCTTGGTTCTATCGCATACTGACAAAGTTTAAACTTATATTATATTAGTTATTGATTTTACTTACACCTATTTCTTGCATATCTTATGAGACCCGAATAAAGAAATTTCCACATATACTTAACTATACACATAGTACTTAATTCTACTTACACAAATACTTATTTAGGGCTAGGGCTAGGTATCTTGCAGCTAGTGAAGTCTCTGCAGATCCGAAATTCTCCTGCCACCTCCATTAATTAAAAAAAAGGTTGATCTTTACATTATGGTAACTTGGCGTTTTTTTGGCAAAAACTTGGCAACCAACTCACCTACAGCAACACTCTATTTTTTTTTCCCGCCGCCATTTTGTCTTCACGAAGTAAAGACATGTTTCTTTTCTTTTTATCTACTGAACACTTCTTCCAACAATCTACTAGCCGATTACACTTTGCTAGAATTTTATCTAACAAAACTGCTTATCTAAATATTCACTGCAAATTGGGAAAAAGTGCACAATACCATATCCTTACGCGTTTTTTCAAAATAACAAATACACATAAAACCATGTACACGCCGACTTATTTTTACTTAAAAAACATCCCGAATGCAAAAATAGCATTGCTCACACTCTCACTATATCCATGTACACTGCTTTTCCTCATAAATTAGAAAAATTTCATGAAAAACAGACAATTTTCTCAATCTTTAAACCGTAAAGAACATATGAAATTACCTGATCGCGAAAAAGTATTTACCCTTTTACCCCCAAATATAACATTTCCACATATAAAATAAATAAAATATCCAAAAACTCTAATCATCTATTACATTATACACGTCACCAAATTCACCGCAAGCATTACAAATCCTTAGTATCAAAAATTTAAATTATTTCCATGCACGTTTACTTCAACTTAACGTGTACCAAATTCCTACAAACATAAATCACAAAAACTACTATCATTAATTAAATATCACTACCACGTACACGTTGACTTATTTTTACTTAAAGAAACATCCGAATTGCACAAAAATGGCATTGCGCACTCTCACTATATCCATTTACATACTTTTTCTCATAATTTAAAAAAATTCACGAAAATACATGACATTTTCTCATCTTTAACCCGGTAAAGAACATACAGAATTATGATCGCGAAAAGTTTTACCCTTTCCAAATGAACATTTTCACATATATAAATAAATATCAAAACTTTTACCTCAAATCATCTACTACATTAACACTCACCAACGAATTCATCCGCAAGATTACAATACTTAGTATCAATATTAAATTATTTCCATCACTTTACTTCACTTAAACTATACCAAATTCCCAAACATAAAATTCACAATAACTATCATTAATTAAATAACACTAAAACCATTACACGTCGACTTATTTTTACTTAAAAAAACATCCCAGAATTGCCCAAAATGCATTGCGCACATCTTCACTATATCCAGGTACACTGCTTTTTTCTCATAAAATTAAAAATTTCACGAAAATACATGACAATTTTCTCATCTTAAACCCGGAAAAAGAACATATATGAAATTACCTGATCGCGAAAAAGTATTTACCCTTTCCAAAATAACATTTCCACATATAAAATAAATAAAAACCAAAAAACTTTACCTCTAATCATCTATTACTTTAACAACACCAACGAACTTACCGCAACCATTACAATACTTAGTGTCAGATATTTAAATTATTTCCATGCACGTACTTCAACTAAAACGTATACCAAATTCCTACAAACATAAAATTCACAAAATAACTATCATTCATTAAATATAATTAAAGTCAAAACACTACTTAAAATATAAATGAGGCACATACATTAAATTAATACAAATAAATACCCATTTCGAATTCACTTTAGTTACGGCAGGGATCCAAAAATTCACGAACACTGTTCACACAACACAGAATAAAGCCAAATACAAAATTTCCAGATTTTTTCCCGATTTCCCCCCCTTTCCGATTAAGAACCGTAATTCGTCCATTAATATCACATGACATATCCCATGATCTCTCATTTCCCTCACACAAAATAATGCGTAATCGGAACTGAGTACTGCTCACATTATTACCAAAGTCCCAGGTAAGTAACCTTTATCGCCTCCAAAATGTCGCCAAACTACCAGTTACCATATTGTAAAGATCAACCAAAAAAAAAAAATATCCAGCCCTAAATTTTGCCTGCCACTGCTTTCTCTAAATTCTAAAGATTTTGCCGTCTTTTATTTTGTAAATCATTCCTTTCCTAAAATTTCATGTCTTGTGCAGCCACAACCAGCTATGACATCAGTCCCAGGCTTATATGTAAATGAAAATAAACTTTTTATCTAAAAAGAACTATATTTATGATATATTTTGGTTGAAGAAGCAAATTTATTTAGCTGCTGAAATCATTCTGCATTTGCTGATGGCCATGGCAGCACTCTCTTTTTATAATAATAAACTACGATCATGAATCTCTGAAATTTTTTTTCTTTCCTTTAGGCAAATTCTCAGTATTGGACATATTTGCTATTTTTAACATTTATTTTGAATGAAAGTAATTAATCCATTTTAAAATTTTAAGTTACATATTAAAAATTTATTTGTCTGGAACTTTTCAAGTGTTACATTAAACTTTGATTCACTTCATATCTGATTTGTTTACATTCGGCATTTTCTAGCATTAAAAATTGAAAGGCCTAAGGACAAAAAAATTTTCGGTTGATCTTTACATTATGGTAACTTGGCGATTTTTTGGGGAAAATTTGGCAACCAACTCTCCTACAGCAACCCTCTATTTTTTTTTCCCGCCGCCATTTTGTCTTCACGAAGTAAGACATGTTTCTTTCTTTTTATCTACTGAACACTTCTTCCAACAATCACTAGCCGAATTACACTTATGCTAGAAACTTTTATCTAACAAAACTGCTAATATGACAAATATTCACTGCAAATGGGAAAAAGGCACAATACCATACTCCTTACGCGTTTTTCAAAATAACACATACACATAAACCATGTACAACGCCGACTTATTTTTACTAAAAAAACATCCCAGAATTGCACAAAAATGGAATTGCACACACTCTTCACTATCCTGTATGCTGCTTTTTCTCATAAATTAGAAAAATTTCACGAAAATACTGACAATTTTCTCAATCTTTAAACCCGGTAAAAGAACATATATGAAATTACCTGATCGCGAAAAGTATTTACCTTTCCAATGTGAACATTTCACATATATAAATAAAATATCCAAAAACTTTTACCTCTAAATCTATTACATTATACCGTCACCAACGAATTCATACCGCAAGCATTACAAATATTAGTATCAAATATTTAAATTATTTCCATGCACGTTTACTTCACTTAAAGTATACCAATTCCTACAAACATAAAATCACAAATAACTATCATTTCATTAAATTATAATTAAATTCAAAAACACGACTTAAAATATAAATGAGCAATACATTAAATTAATAAAATTACCTTACAATCCTAATTACTTTAAACGAAATCATTGCTAATAACCAATTTTCCCAATAATACCAAATTCCTTTCACCTTACATTTAGAACAATGCATAAAAATAATATCCTCAAATAATTAAAAATACTAACTTACCTAATCTTCTTCAGAATGTTGATTACGTGTCCGATAAACTTTTCTTCTTTCTGTTTCAGGATCTTTTAAAATCATACTTATATTTCACAGCAAGGTACCAGGTAAATAAATAACTTAATAAACATCTTTATTTCTATCTCGCACAACCTTAAACAACTTTTACTACCCTTTTCAATACCACTAAATACCCATTTTGAATTCACTTTAGTTAGGGCCATGGGATCCAAAAATTAACAAACACTGTTTCACACAACACAGAATAAAGACAAATACAAAATTTCCAGATTTTTTCCCGATTTCCCCCCCTTTTTCCGATTAAAGAACCGTAATTCGTCCATTATATCACATGACATATCCCATGATCTCTCATTTCCCTCACACAAAATAATGCGTAATCGGAACTGAGTATTGCTCACATTATTACCAAAGTCCCAGGTAGTAACCTTTATCGCCTCCAAAATGTCGCCAAACTACCAGTTACCATATTGTAAAGATCAACCAAATTTTCTTTTAGTAAATCTAAAACTTGAATCCCGGCACTATTTGTAACATTATCAATCCAACTGCATGTGAGTGTAGCTTATTGTCATAATTCATGCAGGAATTCACTTTTAAAGGAATCCTTATTGTTTGACAGTTCTGCAAACTACATATATATTTTTTGCATCTTTAGTCTACTGAGTTCCTTTCTCTGAGGTTATTTTCTATGTATTCATTTGTAATAAGAAAATATATAACAGTTTAATATTAAACAGTTCACTAAATCTTGATAAAATAATTTTTAAGTTATGAGTGTGTTTATGTTAATTATTTATGCACAAAAAGATCCAAATTTAACGTTAAAATTGGAAAGGAAAAAATGTAAATAAAACTCATATGACCTATATACAAGCCTTGAACCCAAGGCATAAAAATTGTTGAAATTCTATGGCAGTCGTAAATTTATTTTGAAGAGAGTCATGTCATTTTTATAAACGGTTAAAGATTTATTTTTTGTTGCTATTGTTTTCAAATTTTCAGTAAAATTCTGTCAAATATATGGTATTTTAAAGTATCGTTAAAAAATTTAAATCTGCTGTACCTAAACCATCAGTTGAAGTCTCAGGTTCAACAACTGCTATCAAAATTACCTCAGTACAAACTGAATGTTCTGATGGCAAATTGTATGTTAATACCATTTTTTTTTTTTTTTTTTATCAAAAGCATTTTAAGAATAAAACCCAAACCATTAATTTCCATAAACAATAATATATTACAATTGATAAATGTTTACTATTCCTTCATGACTAAACCCATCTGCTACAACCCTGATATTACATTAATTATCATTTAATCTAAAAAAAGTACAGATATTTGAGAGCTAATAATGTACTGGTGAAAATATGAACTTTATAAAACACCAAGACACTAAGATGATCAGTTATTCCTCTTATGTACTGCTAATAAATTACTTCTCTAGTTGTTGACAATACTCACTGGAAATAATATAATTAAACAACTGCAATTACGCATAAAATCTTGTAATATGCAAGAATGTGCATATCAAAGTAAAAGTAATCAGTATGTAATTGATTACAACAAAATGTTCACGTTTATTTAATTTCATTATGGAAAAAACATAAGAGCAATCTGCTTTAGGGAAGAGATGGGCTAATCTTTGGAATATGGTAACAGGTAGTTTGGCGACATTTTGGTAAGGCGATAAAGTTTACTAGCTAGGACTTAAGCAGTGTACATGGATAAAGTCAAGAGTGTGCACAATGCCATTTTTGTGCAATTCTGGGATGTTTTTTAAAGTGAAAATAAGTCGACGTGTACATGGATGATACTGTGTATGTGCAATTCTTAAAAACGGGGCAAGCAGTTTGTGATTCTGCACTTTGCCCCAATTTCGCACCTCATCTTCGTCATGATTAAGAACTTTTGTTCCATAAAAGTTCTAGCATAAGCGTAATTCGGCAAGCAGATTGTAGGAAAAAAATTTTGAGTGAAAAAAAAATGCCTTTACTTCGTGGAAACAAAATGGCGTCCAAACAAAAACTAGCAGGTTGCTGTAGCAGGGTTGGTCGCCAAAAAATTGCCAAGTTACCATAACCTAAAGATTAAGGGATGATTTCACAAAGTTCGTTTTGAAGACAACTGGCTTCCGTTCATGTTAACATAGAAAAATCATGAAAATGCCAGCCAAGTCATGAAATTTCATGAAATTAAAGCCAAAATCATGAAAATTCAACTAAGATCTAAATCCAGTTCTAATGTTCAATAGTTCTGTTTACTTGACCACCGGTGAGCCAAAAATACACAATAAAACGCAATAAATCTCTCTTGGAAAATAATTGTCTTTTAAAGATATTTTCTACAGGAAATTAATGCTTGTGAAAATTTCCTTGCAGGTTAATTATTTCATCCAGAAACTGAAGCCTAGAGAAAATTATGAGTATTTAGTCATTAGCAGCAGATCCTTGAGAATTCACAAATTCCATTTCTAATTATTCTCTTTATTATTCTAATTATTATACTGCTGCTTTATTAGTAATGGAGAGATTTATTGTAATAAATTTTGTTCAAAAATTAATTTGATTTTAGAAATTAATATCAGAACTGATTGATATTCACAAAAACCACTTCATAAGTGAAGATTAAAAAATAACTATTATTAACTATAAAATTAAAAATAGCTTAAAGAAGTTTTATGTTACTTTTCGATTTAAGAAAATATTTGGAAATGGCAGGCTTGCTAAATAAAAGAAATAAATGTGATGGCATTAAAATGTGCTGTTTCCTAATACTAATCTAACCCAAGAAGCAAATATAATGCAACCAGAAGAAAATAATCGATAAAATTTGAATACATTAGCTTGCAATATTTAATTAGCATAAGGAAAAAGGTCAAATAAAATTTAACACTACTGGTTATCACTGCAATTTAAAGAAAATCAGAAATTAGTAAGGTAGTTGGAGAATATGTCAGATTTTTCCATTCTCCATATGCTACAAACATTCATTTAAGAGAAAGGATGGTATAAAAGATATTACCATTAAAAATTAACCCAAAAAAGAATTTTCATACTGGCAGATTCTGAATAAAATTCTACAGATTTCAAAAGTGATCCGACTTATGTCCTTCTCCGAAAAGGAAAAAAAAAAAAAAAAATATTCCTAAAGAAATATAATTTTCTGCCTACCTGTAAATTTTATCCTGCCAAGTTTATCTTTCAGTTTGACTAACGTTAAAACCAAACCAATAGTTTGAACTTTATTTAACTAAAATACTACTAATCATTTTACACAAAAATGAAGGAAGATAAATATAATAAATAAAGGAAGATAAATATAAATCAATAAAGCCACATACTTCGATTTAAAATTACTCAAATATGATCTTAAAAAAGTATGATTATTGCTTTCATAGTAAAATCAAGTACACATAATCACAAGATTGACAAATGTTCATCTTAGGTAACAACAGTTCTGTAAAAAGAATTAATAATAAAAGATTAATCAATATTTATGATAAAATCAAAGTAATTCTCTTCTTAAACTTCCAAAATTAAATGAAATAAAATTTAAACGACACATAACTAATGCCGACTCATAAACATTACACAAATTTTGGATTTTGCTTGATATGCTAAAGTCGTTTTACCTGTTGTGATTTTTAAGAGAATCCTTGAAAAGAAACTAGAGCAAGAGATAAAGATCAATTTCGAATACAGTTTTTTTTACTTCTCAAACGCTTAAATAATGAATACGACCGCCATTGAAGGGAATACTTATATTAATACACAGTATATTAAAATATTTATCATAAATACATTATACGTACTGTATTATATTTAGGTATATTTTCCCAGAGAAAAGCACAAATATCCATCTGATATTCTCCATCCTTAACATTTTTTACTCATATTAGATTCTTCAATTCACTGAAGATCATGTTCATTGAATTTATACCTTCGACCAGAAACTCACCTTATTTGTCGACTGATGGCGGCCACTTGACTTTTACTTTCGTCTTTTTTACCGGTGTTCTTCACCTGATACAGAGTATGGTAGTACAATTTTTGAGACAGTTCGTTAATAATAATAATAGAATAGAATAATCATTATTTTGTCTTTTGTTGTTATGGATTACCAGACTGGCAAGTCGCTACAGTACTCCCCCTCCAGTGCTAACGATACCTTACAAATACTTTCGGTTGATGCGAACTCGACGACCCGAGCGTGTTCTTGTCGTAGCATCTGATAAGTCGGAAGCACGGAGTATAATGTTTATACTCCGTGGTTGGAAGTCGTGGTTTCTGTCGAAGGCTTGGAGCAGCTCACACTGAAGTCCGTTGGAGATAGATAGGGATCTTGAGACGGAATTTGCGATGGGAAAGACGCATTCGCTCTAGTGGCTTCTGCTGTACAGATAAATGCTGGCTTAAGTCGGTCGATACCAAACGACGACTTCTTTTTTGTTGACCAAAATTTTAAATGTTTCTTTGTTTGCGAACTAGCACTTAATGGGGCTCTGAAAATTGTGGTGTGAGAGAAGGCTTTAAAAGCATCACATCTGAGAAAAACACAAGATAAGTTTCTAAGTTCTTTATGCACAAACACAGTTTGTTTGCAATTTGCGCTGGCAGAAAGTGGTCACAATTTTGACACACAGTTTCTAAGCTGATGCACGAATGCAACAGGATCTACATTGCAGGTAGATGGATTGAGTGAATGTACAAAATCCCCAGGCAAACAGAGATTAGTACCATATACCAGTTCGGCAGAAAATTCATTCAGATCCTCTTTTAACAATGACCGAAGACCTAGAAATACAGTAGGTAACACATCAGTCCACTGTAATGCAGTGTGGCATTGAATTGATTGTTTTAAGGAGAGATGAAATCTCTCGACAATTCCATTGGAACTTAGATGGTAGGGGCTGGTTCTCACTTTATAAGTGCCCAAATACTTAGTTAGTGACGTGAAGAGTTGGGATTCGAACTGATGCCCCTGGTCAGTAGAAATCTGCTCTGGAACTCCAAATCGAGAAATCCAAACGGTGTAAAATGCTTTTGCCACCGTATCAGCTGAAATATCTACCAAAGGAACGGCTTCGGACCAGCGAGTAAATCGATCAATGCAAGTAAGAATATAGGAATACACATTAGAAGGCGGTAAATGGCCCGACCAAGTCGAGATGCACGTGATTGAAGCGAGATGAAGGCAAATTAAAATTTTTAAGTTGGCTGGAGTTGTGTCTGGTAATTTTAGATCTTTGGCACTCCAAGCACGATCGTGTCCAGTTAGCTATGTCCTTTTGCATATTAGGCCATACAAAACGTTGCTGTATCAGTTTCCTTGAAACCTTGATGCTAGGATGTGGCAGACGATGTAACTGACTAAAAATGGCATGGCGAAACCCGGAGGGAACATAAAGATTGAAATTTTGAATCCTGAACATCACAATAAAGTGATTTTCCAGCTGACAGCTGCATAGGCTGCAAGTTGAGACTGGTGGAAGATTTGCTTTTCAAGAGGGTTTGTAGTTCTGAATCCCGGTGTTGTTCATCCGCAAGGGCAGCAAAGTTTATTGGCGAAGGAACGGCTAGTTCTTCAATACGAGACAACGTGTCTGCAACAATATTCTGCGAACCCTCAATATAACGGATATCTGTTAAAATTGCTCTATGAAGTCTAGGTGTCTGATTTGACGAGGAGAAGCTTTATCCGAACGCTGCTGAAAAACATAGGTTAAGGATGTGTAATCTGTGAAGATCATGAAAACGCATCCCTCTAGTATGTGTCGAAAATATTTGACAGCTTCATAAATTCCTAATAAATCGTTTTAGTAGATAAGAGAAGGCGATTAAGACGTCATCAAAATAAGGTACACAAAAGTCGTGGCCTATTAGCACCTGATTCATGAAGAGTTGTAACGTTTGAGCAGCATTGCATAAGCCAAAAGTCATGACCGGAGACTAAAAATAGTCTCAAAGGCGTAATAACCGCAGATTTTGGAACATCGGCTGTGTTAACGGGCACTAGGGGATACGCCCGCTCAAGATCAAGGATTGTAAAAATAGTTTTCCCTCTAAAACTAGCATACAGTCTTGAATGTGCGAGACTGGCTAACGATCAGGAATTGTAGCTGCATTTAACCGGCGATAATCTCCCCACGGGCGCCAGTTACCATTTCGTTTCGAAGTAGATGGAGCGGACTGGCCCATGAACTTTTTGAAGGACGGCAAATTCCCTGTTCCATCATGCATTGAAATTCCTCTTTGGCGGCTTTAAGCTTGTCCGGAGGTAAGCGTCTTGGTTTAGAGGCAATTGGAGGTCCGGTAGTTTCAATATAATGTAGCACATCGTGCTTGTGTTCAGAAATACCCATAACTGGTTGCGCGTGATTGTAGGGAATTCTCTGAGAAGTTAATGCCATGGGGAGTTACTCGAAATCAGTTTAATGCTCAAATATTGACTATTGCGAATTACTCCAGGATAAGTTAAGTTGGTTGTGGAATCTACCAAACGATGATTCTTAAGATCGACAGGCAAAGAAAATTTCTGTAAAAAGTCAGCGCCAATAATGGGACTTCAAACAGTAGCAATAATGAATGGCCATTGGAAGTTGCGGCGCAATCCTAAATCAACATATATCAGGCGTTCACCAAAAGTTTGAATAGGAGTTCCATTTGCTGCATAAAGTTGTAACTTGGTAAGGCGCTCTTTTTCGTGAAAATGTGGTGGAACGACAGAAACATCAGCTCCAGTGTCTACAAGAAACTTTAAGACTTCGAGAGACGGCCCTTCTCGTTTCCGTGGTCGTTATAACGACACGGTAGGCGGCATTTGTTTGCCTTTTTTCCAATTTTGTGGTGGTTAAAAACAAATACCCGGAGGAGAGCTTTCTTAATGTTTCCTCAGTGGGCTAGGACGTGCATTTTGACCACGTGATGCGGAGCGGTTGCGTTGAAAAGGTTCAGCTTGGATGGCTACTAACTGAGCAACTTGTTTGACAAATCATCAATTTGAGCCTGTAACGCCACAATACCTGGACCAGGAGCTCGCATTGCGTGTATTTGAGCTGGAATGGCCCAGCTCGGGAATTTTTTCAGTTGTTTCGGGAAGATTTTTAAATGGCTCGCTACTGGCCGCTGATATGGCTTGCATGTTAGATGGGAGTTTATTGATCCATGATGTTTTAAGAATGTTATCCGTTAGTTTACTGGCGGCTAAGTCTGACATTTTAGACAGCAAGTGATAAGGCCTCATATTACCCATTTGTAAATCGCGCAACAGCTGCTTGATTATAACTGTCTCGGATTCTTCATAAACAGAAATTAATTTTTTTTTAAAGATTTGTATTTGTCCGTCGCCGGTGGATTCAAAATTATTTCACGAGCTGATTGCAATACCTCTGATTCTAACGCAGAGATCGCTGTATAAAATTGAGTTTCGTCGGCAGTAATGTGACTCAATTTAAACTGCGCATCCAACTGAATGAACCATAACGACAAAAAGGCAGTAGCTTAACTGCCACTCGAGCCAATTGTGAAGTAGCATCATTTTCAACCATTTATATCAATCAAATATGCACGATAATAATATGTATAGAATATGCACAATGATAATATTGTTACGAAATGACCAGGCGCGGTAAGATGGCTTCCCCGCAAAGCAGTTTTGGGTTGCCATAACATGGAAAGTGAAGGCAGGGTTGCACATTTGGCGAGAAATCGCCCATTTGGCGACAAAATTGACGATATACCATGGACGGGTGGAGAACCTTCAGGAACGAATTCTTACCGGTTTAGCACAGAATGTTCTCGAACACCAGTCAAAAGCTATATAAACCCTGCTAGTCCGCAGTCAGAGAGTGCGCCTCGTCTAGCGAGCCGTGCGGAGTCGATCGAGTTGACAGCCGGGCAACGACTGCCGGGTGGGTCGTCGAGTGCACCGAAGGAGTCTCTTAGTGTATCGCGGTTAGTGCATCGTCGAGAGAGCGTGTTGAGCTCCGGGAACGACTGAACCGAAGAGTCGGAAGCTGTGCTTGTGTGTTGTCGAGTGCATCGCGAGTTGTAGCGTGGAGAGTCTCGAGAGTACGTGGAGTTCCGAGAACGACCAAGATGAGTCAGGACGTTATAGCCTGATAACCTGGAGGCTGTGTCGCTGATCGTGTCAGCGTGTTTATAGTAGATCTTTGCATCTCATCACACTGTATAACGTATTTCTGCTCAATATTTTGACATATAATTTCCATATTCGTGCAACATTGAAGGTTGCTATTCGTAATAAATACGGGTCACCAATTATGGTAGTACAATTTTTGAGACAGTTCGTTAATAATAATAATAGAATAGAATAATCATTATTTCGTTTTTTATTGCTATGGGTTACCAGACTGGCAGCATTGAGTTGTAGTAGGCAAGTCGCCACACAGAGTATAAGGAAGCGTTGCTTTCTGAAACTCAAATTCACTATATGTTCTTAGCAGTAGGTATATTCGCCGTATAGGTGCTACTTTGGTAGACGGTTGCACGTAGTTTTGGCGATTTACTTTGGCGCCATTGTTGGCGTGGTTTTAACAAACATCAGCCATCTTGAAAAACGCTGTTTTTACGCATTTTACCTATAGT